CCCCAAAACCCCAAAACCCCAAAACCCCTTATTAACGATAGTTAAAAGTGCTTGGGAAATAGAAATAATAAAATATTAATAATGTTAATATCGTTTTTATAAATTGTTAAAGTTGTCCAGATATGTTTAATAATATTCGATATGAGAAGAAATTTTTAAACAGGCTCTGAATTCGGATATTTAAATAATTCAGATTAACTTAATGATAAATTTCTTTTCTCTAAATGTCATATATCAACTCCTACTTCAACGATACACGTCAATTGCCAAGAATAAGGATCATTAAAGACAGCATGAATTCTATAGGTATCGACTCATTAAAAAGTATCTTAGAATCTAGCAAAGCTGGAATCAATGAAATAGGCTAAATAAGTGAAGATCTTGAGATTGAAATGGTTGATCTCCAAAAAGACATAAAAATTGATTGCATGTCTGAAGACCTCAAATAACTTGAGACTAGCAGATCAGTAGAGATAAAGCAAGAATCTAAGCTCCTCACTGATCATGAAGTTCAAAACTATCTCAAATATAATAGGATGCATACTGAGATTAATGAGTAGACATTTGAACATTAGAATGATAAATATCAGAACATAGAAGGAAATAGAGCAAAAGCAAAATAAAATGGCAGTAACAAGGGTTAGTAATCTCAATCCTAAGCAAGAGGATGCCTTAATTTCTTACTCGACGTTGAAACTGATAAATGTAAAAACTGTAATAAAAATTTGCAAGCACATTAGGTCCCAAGGTTTTTAGAGCCTTATCCTAGCGAAGTTTATTTAAATATTGACTCTCGCAAGTCTAGACAAGATTATGATCCAATGACTCTCTCAGAGAAAATTTAGCATAGTTTAAGAATAAAAAGTAATAAGTCAAATTAGAGTAAGCTGAAACTTAATAGACTTGACAACTTAACTATTCAAGCAAAGACATTTTACTGTTAGATATGCTATTTAGACTGTCCAATAGATCAGATAATGATAATTAAATGTGGTCATTATTTTTGTAAGGATTGCCTTCAAGGATTTCTAGACTTCATGATAAATTAAAGTGGGATAGTATACAAGATGAAGTGCCCAAGTGCAGGATGTGAGAAAACTTTCGATAAAGAAAACTTGAAAGACTGGCTTAGTGAGGATAATTTTTATAAGTTTCAGAAGTTTATGGCGAATTATGAAGTTAGTAAGTCAAACAACAAAAGATTTTGTCCTTAGGTGAATTGCGAGCAAATTGTTGAAGGAAAGAAAGGATAAACTAAAACTGAGTGTCCTAAATGTATGAAACATTTCTGCTTTTAATGTTAGCTACCTTGGCACGAAGGAATTAATTGCAAGGAGGCTTAGGCAAAAGTCTACAAAGATTGGGCTATTAATATTGGTGCTAATTAATGTCCAAACTGCAAAGCTCCTGTTCAAAAAGATAGAGGTTGTCATCACATGAATTGCATTGTTTGCAATTATAAATGGTGTTGGGTGTGCGGAAATAGCCTGGATCACTGGATTCACAAATTTGAATAGAGTCCCTTTAATTGCTCTAAGGCTCCAAAAAATAAAAAGAACAAGTGCTAGTTCTTTGCGCTATTTATATTAGGGTTGCTCTTTATGCCTTTGATTATTTATATAATCATGATGGGTGTCTGTATGTATTTCGGGGCTTCAATGTTTTTTAAGGCTGTTGATAATTGCAAAGCTTGCGATAGAGTATTTGGATGCATGTGTCTCTCAACTATATTCCTGCCTTATATCTCTATTATTCTTGTTCTATCTGCAACCATTTCATGCATGGCTGCAATTTTGCTGCTATTGCCAGCCTATTATGTCCATGTATATGGATATCTGTCAGCTTATAACTGGTGGAGGAAGTCCACTAGGATGTAGAATATGACTTAATATCAAATTGCTAATCCTGAATAGCCTAAGAAGTAAGATAAAGATAATAAAGTATGAAAATACAATATTTTATTCAGTTCATTAATTTCCTAAATCAATTGTCTTAATAAATCAACACTCTATTGATGGGGTTTTGGGGTTTTGGGG